CCTCCCTCCTCCTCCCTCCTCCCTCCTCCCTCCTCCCTGGAGGGCTCAGGGTGACATCCAGATGGGCTCCCGCACCTCGAAGGTCCATCCGTCTCGTGACTCGCCTCCTGCAGGCTCGGGCCTCGAACATCCACATCGAGGCGGCACTTCAGATGATTTACCCTCTGTCCCCCACCCAGAGAACATGCTCGGCCCCCCCCACCTCAATAGATCTCTTCATAACCCTCAACGGGGTGTGGTCCCAGCGCCCAACTTCTACACGGGACTGTGCCTGCCTCCACCAGCCCGTGCCTGCAAGACGGACCGGCTCCAGCACTCGACTCTCTACGAGGGAGGGCGGCTCCACCAGCCCACGCGTCGGCTCCAGCACCCAACTTTTTTTACGAGGGACAGTGGCTCCAGCAGCTCATGTCTGCAAGAAAGACCGACTCCAGCACCCCATCTTCTACGAGGGAAGGCGGCTCCAGCAGCCCAATGTCTCGGCTCGAGCAGCGAACTTTTACGAGGAGTAATGGTTCCACACCCCAATCACCGCTAACATATTTCCCGCTCGGTCCGGATTACCACTACCTAATTAGCCACCTAACTGTAGAAGGCGCCGACCTCTCTCTCTCACACACGCACGCACGCACGCACGCACACACGCACGCACGCACACACGCACGCATGCGCGCACCCACGCACGCAAGCACGCACGCTGACAACAACACACACATACATATATGTTCATATACATATACAGCACACACAACACACACACAAACACCCACACACACATACATGCATGCACATATATACAGTTACACATGCTAATGCACAGGCAAGGCCCGCGCCTCCCAAGAAGCAGGGTGTTTCTGAGAAGCCTCCTCCCTTCCCCTTGCCCCACACCGCCCTGCGCGCCGCCGAGAGAAGAAAGGCCATCGCCGCGGAGCCCGCCCCCGGTCCTCGGCGGCCTCGGCCACGGCGCGCTCGAAGTCGGCGCAGCCCTGCCCGGTCACGGCGGACACGCCAACGCAGCGGAGGTTGGCGTAGAACTCCTCGCGGCCGGCGCGCACGGCCCGCATCACCAAACGGTGCACGTAGCCATGTCGACGCTTGGGGACGCACTGAATCCGGGTCAGTGCACACCGGGGCCAGTTAAGGTCCTGCAGGATCTTGCAAGGTCCTGCAGGATCCTGCAGGATCATGCACACGCCAGCCTGGGCCAATGCACCTTTGGTTCTGCAAGATCCTGCAAGATCTGGCGCTCTCGCTGACCACCGCTTGTGCATTGACCCCTGTCGCAAGGCTCCCGAGACGCCCTCGCGGCTTGGAGTCAATGGCACGGTTCGGTAGCCCAATGGATGCGCGGTCGCATGGATACGGCTCCGCGCGGGGGCATCCGTCAACAAAAACGCCCCGTATCCCCGGTGGCCCAGCCCGCGACGCCGTGGATACGGATAACTTTGAGCGCGTTTCCATTCAGATTCTGGCAACTCGACTTGCACGGCGTTTCGCTCCTCCCCCCTCACCCCGGAGCGTTTCCAGACAGCGCTGGGCCGAGAAGGCGTGCAGGTGAGGGGTCCTGACCTGCGTGAAGTGCAAATGTCGCTTCGGGCCTCGCCACGCGCCCCTCCCCCTCTCCCCCTCTGTGCAAGAACATAAACTTAGGTCGGGCATGTCCTCCTGCAGGCGGATTCTGGACGATTTCTTTTTTATACGCTAGAATCCCCCCCTACAGCAATACTCAAACATCGTGTTTTTGCTTAGAAAAAATCTATACTAGATTTTTACTACTTTGGAGCACTCCTCCTGTAGCGGGACAGGCCCGACTTCAGCGCAGACCTGCCAGACTCTCTACGCCAAACGTTCTTCCGCCCTCACGGCCTCAGGCCCCGTGACACCGTGACAATTTTTTTTCCCCCGAGCGTCCCAACCTGCGCGGCGGGAAGTGGCGATCAAACTACCCCAATCCGGAACCAGAAAGTGAAACAAGAAGGATGCAGCTGGGACTCCGTGACAAAAGAGGTCGCGGCGGCAGGCCTCCCTTCGCTTCGGGCCTCAAGGGAGGCTGCTCCCCGGCCCTCCGAGGAAGGCCGGCAACCTGTGCCGCGTCCCCCCCCCCTCCCGCTCCAAGAGGCCCTCCGCGAGTCCACGGTGGCCTCCACGATGGGTCGAGATACCTCAAGATCCGAGGATTTTCTGTGGGTGGAGGGCAGAGGTTGAAATCTGAAACGCCGTTTCAATGGATTTTCGAGGCTCGAATCTGCAAAAGGTGAGTCACAGGACGGACTGATCTTCGAGGTGCAAAAGCCCATATGGGTTTCACCCTGAGCCCTCCACCCCAAGAAGCTGCTCAGAAGATGGCTCAAGATAGCCTCCGGCGCACATCCCAAAGGCCTCAAGATGGCTCCAACATGGTTGCCAGTACCAGCTGGGCCCTCCGAGGACCCCCACCAAAAGGTCACCATGGCTTCGAAACCTAGGGAGAATCAATGTTTGTTGCCCTTCTCGTTGTTTCGCTTCCGATGGGCTTTTGAAGCCGTAAGATGGCCGCAAGACGGCCCAGAAGAGGCTCAAGAGGGGCACAAGAGGACCTCAAGAGAGCTCCAAGAGCGCCCAAGGGCGCTCTAAGAGTGGCACAAGAGGACCCCGAAACGCCATTTGTGAGCCTCCAGGGGGGGGCCTCGCTGCAGGCGGTTCTGCTTCGCAGTCGTGATGCGTTCCGCTCCCGCGTCATAGTCGAGCCTCTGGGCAGCCTGCGACGTCTTTCCCTCGAGTTCCCCGAGGAACTGCCAGTTGCGCACTCTTCTGCCCACTGGAGACCTCCTAGATGGAGTCCGAGCAGATGGGGTCGGAGGATCGCGCCGCACCGCCAATGCATCGGCGATGTATCGGCGCCATCAGCGTGGAGAAAATCGGGCTCCCCATCGAGCCGCATCGGCGATGCATCGGCGACGCGGTGCGATCCTCCGACCCATAAAAAGATGGGAGAGAACGATTAAAAACATAGTCATTTCTGCAAAAAAAAACCTGACTGGAGGAGAACGATAACAAAATAGTGTTCCAGCCCGCGGCCGGTTTTTTCTAATCGTCATCCCGGGCACCGCCGCGTGAACACGACCCCCGGTCATTTATTAATCGTCATCCTCTATCTACTCGGACCCTGCATGGGAGGCCGAGGGAGGAGCTGCCAATCTGCTGCCCACGCGTCCGCCCAGTGGTGGCAGCTGCTCGTGGCCCGAGCTGTGCAGCGCACGGGCCGGCGTGGCCCGCCGGCGCTCGAGCTCGCGCGGCCGGCCGCATCCGACCCACGCGTCGCTCGCTGGGTGGGCCGCGAGGTGGCTGTGCCGAGGAGAAGACTAGCCATCGCTCGGACGTCCATTCCCTGTGTTTTTGTCGGTTTCGTGCGTGGCTTCTTCGCCAAATGATCCAGGAAGCTCCTCGATGGTCCTCGCCCACGGAAAAATGCACACGTCCGAGCGGTGCCAAGAAGGGGCTCGGTGCCGGGGTGCGCAGGGGCGCACGCGCAGGGGCCCGCGGACAGATCATCGGCTCCTCGGGATGGAAGGCGGTCCAAGGGAAGGGCCCAGGCCCCTGCGGGTGCTCAGCCAGGCCCAGGCCAAGGGAGAGGAGGAGGAGGAGGAGGAGGGAGAAGAGGAGGAGGAGGAGGAAGAGGAGCAGGATGAGGAGGAGCAGGAGCAGGAGCAGAAGGACCCTGCACCAAGGCGTCGAGCACCAGTGCCCGACTCGTCTTTGACAGCGCCTGGACCAGCTTGGAAGAAGGCTCATCTCTTCCGCCCCCCATCCCAATTTCCTGGCCTGCTTCTTACCCCGTGTGCACCCACATCAAAGGTTGCGCATGCCAGGCTTAGTGCTCGGCCGATGGCCGAAGCGCCCCCGAGGCGCGGCTGCAGCCTGCTCTCTTGAGCTGCTGCTGCCTCTGCTCCTGCCTCCCGGCTCCGCATCTCTCACTCCCGATTACATACAGGCATCGCCACTCTTCCGCCTGAGGGCGGACCAACCGACAGACCGACCGAGGAAGAGGAGGGCCCGGGGCTTTTCTATGAGACAACGTTCACGCCCACGCACCGCTTGATGTATAGCTCGTCAGCCGGTCGGCCAGTCAGGGGCACGAGCTGAGATCCCCGACGTGGGGCCGACGCCCCCCCCCAACAAAAAAAACCGTGACGTCGAAGAAGACGGCGACGACGACGACGACGCCGACGCCGACGCCGATGCCGACGCCGACGCCGACGCCGACGGACGACGACGACGACGCCAACGACGACGACGTCATCAACGCTGGCGTCCGTCTCGGGAGCCTCTTGAGGTCAGGCGCTTCATCCGGGGACCTCCCTGGCGACCCCGACCTCCCTGGCATGCCAAAAACCGTCGGAACGCCGAAGCCAGCTTCGTACTGGCTGTGGTCGATGTGGCGTCCCCGGGCGGCCAGGTCCACTCGGCTGTGGCCGCGGACCTTCCGTGCCCGCGCGCTGGCACCCCGGGGGGGGGGGGCTCCGAGCGCCTCCCGCGGGGGGCCTCGGGAAGCCCCCCGGGGGGCAGCCGGGGACCTCCCTGGCGACCCAGACCTCCCGAGGCATATGTTCTCGGGGACGGACAGGGCCCCCAACAGTGACACGTCGATTAGTGAATTGTCCGTTTTCGGTTCTCGAGAGGGCGCCGCGGCCGTTATTTTCCAGGCTTGCGCCCGCCAGGTTTGGGCCTCAGGTCGTTTTCACTAAACCACGTTGTACTAAAGGGGGGTCTGTCCATCCCCGATGTTCGACCCGGGCGGCCCTCTCACACTTTTACCTGCAAGCAAGGAGCCCTGCGGCGGGGGGGGGAGCAACGACGACGAGGGGGCGACACGACGGAGGGCGCGGCGAGGGGGGAGGGGGGGGGGAAAAGCCGACAGGGGCGGCTTTTCTCACACGTCGGTCAGAAGCAGTAGGTCAAAGCATGAAGTAGGAAGGCGGGTAAAGCAGATTGGGTTCAGGCCCTCCCAGAGAGCAACAGAACACAGCAAAGGCAGATCGACTCTTGAAGTAGGAGGGCGCCCGAAGTCCGCCGGCCCCACTGCCGGGCCAGCGGGCTCCACGGATTAGGCCTGCTGCTCCCTGCGCGAGTTACGGTTGCCAGTCTCCAATGTTACAATTCTGTGTTCTGCTCCCTACTGTGAATTGACACAATTGACACTGGGTGCCGTCCCCTGGTGGAATTCTCAAAACTTCCGGGGGGTCCTGGGACACCTAAACATACGAGAGATTCGCGCCCCCGAACCTATAATCCCATGTCATATTCGCGCCCCCGAAGCCAGAACCCCTCGTCAATTACAATATTCGCATCCCCGAGATCATAATCCACAGTAGATTGTTCAATCTTCGCGTCCCCGAGGCAATACTTTCTTGTAAATTATGCAACGCCTGCGTCCCCGAAGCTAGGATCCATCGTAAAATACGCGTTCTTCGCGTCCCCGAAACCATCAACCTGCGTAAAGTACGCGGTGTTCGCGCTTGCGAGGCCACCGTCTTTCATAAAAGGCACCCGAGATGGTACAAGAGGCCTCCGAGACGGCCCACGAGTGTTCCAAGGCGCCCACGAGGCTCCCGAAAGGCACCCAAGAGCGCTCCAAGAGCACCCCCAAGAGGGGCCCATGAGGGCAACATCTGCGATTATCCTGAGATGGTTGATGGATGTTGGCACGCTCGCGGTTTTGGGCTTCAAACGCTCCAGGACGGCCCACGAGGCCCCACAAGACCGCCCCAAGACGGCCCAAGAGGCTCTCAAGATCGTCCCAAGACGGTTCAAGAGGGCCCCGATACGGCCCAAGAGACCCCCAAGACGGCCCAAGAGGGCCCCAAGGCGGCCCCAAGACGACCCCAAGAGTGACCCGAGACGGGGGACCCGAACCCAAGTGGCCCCCGTTCAGAATTCCGACGCTGCTTCACGACGGCGCCCAGGCCTCACAGCATAGCTCTTGCCTGCCCCATTCTCCGAGAGAGGGGGCCGGCGGCAGGGGGCGAAGCCCTTACGGATAGACTGGATTCTGGGAATCTAGAACTGCCCACTTTCAACGACCGGCGTGCACACTTAGGTCGGGCGTGTCCCCCTACAGGCGGACTTTGGACGAACAACAAAAAAACGTCCCCAGACTATTTCTTTTTGTTGTTGTTGTTGTTGTTGTTATTTTTGATGTTTGCCCCTGTAGGGGGACAGGCCCGACTTACGCCTAGAACTGCCCACTGTCGGCGACCGGCGTGTGTACGCGGGCCTCTGGGGCCCGTCTCTGGGCCAGGTACCTGGAGCGCACAGCAGGCCCCATCGGGGAGTGGTCGGGACATCGGGGGCGCGGGGAGGGGAAGACTCAGGCCTGGAGGCAACGCCAAGAGGGGACTGACATAAGGGGGGGATGCATCGACCTGGAATCGGCGGTTTCTCGCCGATATAGATCGGCGATTGGCCCCCGATGGTACATCCGAACCTTCCTGGGCGGGTGGGGGCTATCAGACCCCAATGGGCGATCAATGGGCGATTGGGGGTCGATGCATCCCCCCTTTTCCTATCCCCCCTATCGTTGCCCCTGAAGACCTCATAACCTGATGGTGCAGTCTGACCTTGGCCAGCAGAGCATCCCTCAAGAACATGCGACACTCGGTCGGCCAAAACGGCCAAGGGTACCTTCCCCAGGAAGCACAAGAACATACAGCAAGCACAAAGAACATCAGGGTACCCTCCCCGAACCGACCTCGGTTTAATACTTCGGTCCGACTGTAAAGGGAAACCAAAACGGCATAAACATAAACTATTGGCGGTCCTCGCGGATTTCTTGGATCTGAGCTGGAGCCCCCTCCCTGGCGCGCGGAGAGCGCCAGGGGGTCCAGCGCAGATCCAAGACATCCGCGCGAACCGCCAGAAGGTTGTTTTTTTGTGTGTTTTTCGTTGGGAGAGGGAGGTGAAAAAACGCACACCTCGCGCACTTTCTCTTGAATTGTACAATACTTGCGTCCCGAAGCTAACGAACCCTCGAAACTTATAAAATATTTGCGTCCCCGAAGCCATAACCCCCAAGCCATAAACCTTGGTAACATACTTCTGGGGCCAGGGTGGCAGCTTAGGGGCCAATGGCTGGGCTATGTCCCTGCAACCCTCGACCACACCCCCGTTTTTGTTTTGCCCCCCCTTTTCGCGAACGCCCGAACTCTCAAGACGAAGCCAGGACGAGGATCAATTCGAGTGAGGATCAATGGAGAATCTCTGAGATCCCGCGGCTCTGGAGGATCTCTCGGGCGCCACAGCTCTCTCAGAGCCTCCAGAGGCCGAGAATACCCCAAAAAATCGCCCGTCGTGATTTTTTCAACAACATAACCAAAAATAATCAAACATCGTCCCCTGACTATCCTCCTCCTCGGTTTTCTGACTATTTCTCATGACCCGAGGGCGACTGGATCCTTCGATCCTCGGAAGCGCAAAGCCCTGCTTGGAGCGCGCCAGCCGTCGTGTGGTCACCATCCCATCGCCACCGCCGCCGCTTCAGGATCCTCTTGTGGCGTGTCTGGGGGCGCTTGGCGTCTGAGCGTCCCTCCTTCCTCCCAGCCGTCCCTCCCCCCTCCTTGCTCGCCGGCTAGTGCCCCTAGGAGGAGGAGGAGGAGGAGGAGGAGGAGGAGGAGGAGGAGGAGGAGGAGGAGGAGGAGGAGGAGGGGGAGAGGAGAGAGGAGGAGGAGGAGGAGGAGGAGGAGCTCGCTGGAGCGGATCTCGCCGCCTCGCCGCGGACGAAAAAAAAGTTTGGGGGCGCTCGGGCCGCTGGGCGGGCGAGGAGGGCCCCCGCGTCGGGGGCCCGGGGCACGGCGTGCGGGTCCGGGACGGGGTTCGGCGGGGAGTGCAGGCAACCAGGTGTGGGCTGCTTTGGACGCCCTTGCCGCTGGACCCCCTTCTGGGTCAACCCGAAAGGCGAAGCGATGGCCCTGGGGGAGGGCCCAGGGGTCATGGGGCGGCTTCCCTTTTGGACGCCCGAAATGGGCACGGAAAGAATGGGTACAATGCCCAACAGCAAATGTTGTCCCAAACCAACAGCGGCCGCTGTTGGGCAGGCGGCCCTCTGTCTCAAATGGACACAGGCCGCGGCGGCGTGGACAGCGAGTCCTGTTCAAAATGAACAGGAACTGCTGTTGGGCATCGTACCCATCCTTTCCGTACCCATTTCGGGCGTCCAGGGCTGCGAGCCTCACCCCTGCAGGTCGGATTGCTGAGAAACCGGCTGGGGTCCAGAGTTCGAAGGATACCTACAAGCAAGTGAACCCCAGCGGGGGTGTCCAATACCCCCGCGTCGATGGGACCCGTAGGGGTAGGGTTCGCAAGTGGTCCCAGAGAGTGGGGGCGAGGGGACTGACAGGGGGCGAGGGGGCTCCACGAAGAGCAGGGGGGCTCCTCAGAGGGGAACCGGAGGCTTTTAAGAAGGCGTGTTGAGAAGGCGGGCTTCTGAGAACCCCCTGCCTTCTCACCAAGCAACCCCCTGGGGCCCTAGGGCCCAAGCATCCGGCGATGTGGTGCTTCTACTCCACGGACCCATGACCTCCCGACCACCTCCAAGGAGGCAACTTCTCGTCTCGGATCCGTTTCTGCTGGCCCGGGGGGGGCGGAACAACGGCAGCTGAGCCAAGGAAGGAGCTGCGAGGCGGGGAGGATTGCGCATATCCACCGCCTGGGGAACGGATCTTCCAGGACACCTGGAGCCGGGAGGCGGTGAATGTGGATGTGGATACAGTCCTCGTGCTACCAGAAAACACATTCAGCAAGGAACGAACGGTGCTTTTCTGGCCACAATGCAAATACTCAATGTTTGGTGCCCACGCTGGCTAGCATGCCGTTTTCCTCGCTCCCCCCTAAAAAACAATAACAACCCTGAGTTGTGGATGCCTCCAGGCCTCCAGATCTCAGCGGAGGTCCCCCGTCGTGGTCGTGGTGGTGGTCCTGGTCGTGGTCGTGGTCGTGGTCGTGGTCGTGGTCGCCGTCGTCGTCGTTGTCGTCGCCGAGCGGCCTCCATCGCCAGGCTCATCGAGCGCGCCAGGCTGGCGACGTAGGAGGTCCGCAAGCCGCGCTGGTGCAGGCCCGAGGCTCGACCCCCGACGACGCGGGACGCAGAAGGGCACGCTGGCACCATGCCCCCGCCTTGGAGGCGCGCGTCCGAGCCAAACATTCTGCACCGACGTCTTCTCGGTACATCCCATGACGCAGGCGACCTCTGGTGCGCGGCCTGCCGATCGCTGCGCGCGCGGCTGCGCTGCGGCGGCCTGCGTGCTGGGCGGCTGCTCCCCCCCCCCACTGCGCCACAGAAAGCCAAGCACCAGAGGCCGATGCGGCGAAAGGCCAGTCTTACATACGACCGATGTTCGAGGCCCGAGGCTTGTTGAGCTGCTCTGAATGCCTTCTGGATAAGATAAGGGCCTTGGATAAGGAACACGTGGACAAGGAGTCTAGGGTCTGAACACAAGCGCTGGAAAAAGATGATGCCGCACATGAAACTGTCGCCTGGCTGGTTGTTCTCGACGCGCCCAAGAGAACGACACCGACATCACAGCAAAGCCACGGCAAGCCCTGCGCCCCGCACCCCAGAAAGACGACGCTGGCACCACGGCAGGCCCCACGGCAAGCCCTGCGCCCGAGGCGGTGCTTGCCCTGGTGGCGGCGGCGCTCCCCCCAAGGCGGAAGGCCGCGCGTCGGAACAAACGGCGCGGCGACATCTATCTCTCGCCCAAGTCGGCCACGTCATGTGGCCGAGTCCAGAAATCCTGAGCCAACACAACTTGACTCGGCTACACATACGGAGAGACCCCAGGCAAGAGTGATTTTGCGTGCGCGGCTTTAGGGGCGCCAACGCAACCGCGCAAAAAGGCTGCTGCCGCACTGCGTCGCCGAACGGCGGGACGCGCCTCGAAAGAACCTCAGCGCCAACGGGCAGATGCTGAATTCCGCCAGTTCGATCGGGTGCCCCGAATACCACCCCGAAAGAGCTGCGAACACAGGCCCTGCCAGGCGCCACCACGATGAGATTTGGCACTGCCAAGCCGCATCGCGATGACGTCTGACCAGGCCTGGCGTCGTGGCCACAACTAGGGACACCCGCGTGCCCTCCAAAGGGCGCATATACCTTCCGAGAAGAAACAATTCGATGGTTGAAGATCCGAGTTCAAACTTACTCAAAACGGTTCAACCTTCGTCAAACTTCTTCAGCCTGGACGATTTGAGATTCGGGCTGGGTTTCGGGAGCAGTCCTGGGGCGGTTTCGCGGACATGCACCGCGTATATGTTGCTGTCGATTGCGAGGGGGGCCCAACACCGGTGCGATCAGATACGAGGGCAGCCCTGCGCCGCATGTGCAGAGGCAAGGCCGAGCTCAAGCCCAACGAACACATCACCGATGTCCTGTCTGGGCCAGCACCACAGGTGAGAAAAACACGCCTCGTGTTGTGAGGAAGGTGTTGGGGAGATACAGTGTGCGACTGCGCAAACATCACCTTCAACATACGCGGTGCCATGGATGATGTGATCATTTCTCCCAGCCCTATCCTCCCAATCCTAAAGTTGTCTTTCTGAATGGGCCACTCTCGCGGAGGATAACTCCTACGTGCGTGCGGAATTGAAACCTGTTGGGTGGGCAGCTGTTGCTTCCCCTTGCTTCCGCTAACCTTCCGCCGACCACCGCCCGAGGAGTCGCCCAGTCTCCCGCTTCTGCCGCCCTCCGCCGAGGAAGGGGCGCCAACGCCGCAGAGCCCCCAGCGCCATGATGTTTTCGTGACGGCGACCTCCAGAAGACTCGACCAATTCCCTGGGCCTGGATGTTCATCCTGGTTCGATTTGACCTCCCCCGGGCCCAGTGAGGGCACCCAGACGCCGAAAACGGCCCCAAACAGTCCGCCGTGATTCTACTGTCACGACGCGAGGGGGACATGGGAGGCGAGGCCGTCTCTCCAACGTGTTTTTTGTGCATCTGGCTTCCTAGCAGGAAGCGGGTTTTCATTCTGCTCGGCGATAGCCCGGGTTATCTGGTGGTGTCGGGTCGGGCGAAAGGGGGGGATAGCAAAGGGGGGGTTTGAGAATCAGCTCACGTAGCTGATTTTCCCGGCGCCTCCCGGCGCCGGGAGCGGCCATGTATCGAGGAATTGGCCCCTCGGTGAGGCCGAAACCAGCTGCGTGCAGCAAATTCGTAACCCCCCTTTCCAATCCCCCCCTTTCGCCCGACCCGATGGTGGGGGGGGCAGAGATGCGCGTAAACCTAACCTTGTCGCTTCGGGCAGCCCCACGTATCTGCCCGCGCGCGCCAGCACTGCCCCCCCCCCCCTCCCCCCCAATCGGACCTGCGCAGCCGACAGGGTCAGCTTCTGCGGGGGAGCGGCCGAGGCGGCCGGGAACTTTTTGTCAGCGCGCCGCTCCGCGCCGCGGGACGGCAGGCTAGGAAAGGTTCGGGACTTGGACGCCTCGGGGGCACCGAAGTTTTTTTTTTTTTTTCTCGGTGGCACCGAAGTGGATAGCGTGTCGCGCCGAAGCACGGCGGAAGAGCACCCGCGGAACGATACGCCATCGAAGAGCTCCCGGCCGTATGTGTTCGAGTCTCTGGAGGTCTGGGCTGCGCCCGCTCGCAGAGGCGAGGAAGAAGAGGCGGGAAGGAGGAGGACGAGGAGGAGGAGGAGGAGGAGGAGGAGGAGGAGGAGGATAGGGGAGGAGGAGGAGAAGAGAAAGGATGAGGGGGGGGGGACCCCCGAAACGGATGCAAACGTCCAAATTCCTCGAGGCGTCGTCGTCGTCGTCGTCGTCGTCGTCGTCGTCGTCGTCGTCGTCGTCGTCAGCGGCGGCGGCGGCGACGGCGTTTCCCTCCCGGGCGCCACCCACCACGGTGCGCAGGCGGGTGCGCGCGGCAGCGCACGTGGATCTCTCTGGACAAGGCCTCGCCGATCTTCTCGAAGTCCCGCATCCACTCCAGCAGAAAATCGTGCGGCGTCACGTCGATTTTGTTGAAAGCTACTATGAACGGCAATTTCGTCTTGTACAGTATGGAGCACGCGTACAACATATTCGACATGAATGTTACGGGTTTGGCGCACTGCGCCGTGTCTACCACGTAAGTGACGAGCGTAGGGTAGGACACAGCGAGTGCGTCGCACACGATCTGCCCTGACGCAGACCAATTGAAGACCTCAATCTGGCCTGGCGTGTCGATCAGCACAAAGTCTAGATCTGGGGCGCGCTTATCAAGCAGGGTCAAGACTTGATCAAATTTCGTGGCGAATAAGTTCAAGGATGTCATGATGCCACCATTCGGGCCCAAGTTGAAATGCTTCATGACTTCTTTATAATTCACCGTGTCGCGGATATCCACGTTCACTGGGTACGCCACATTCCTCACGGCCGGGTCCAAATTTATCGTGTAGACCCGCTTCTTGATTGACTGCAGGCGGATGACCAGCCTGGAAATCGTTCCTCCTCCTCGACATCCGCTTCCGCCTCCTCCACCTCCACCTTCACACATGCCTCTTCCTCCCCTCGTACATCCCCCCCTCTTCCTCCATTATCCTTCCCCTGCCCTGAAGCTGTGCTTTTCCACGCAGGACGCTCCCCGGTATCCAGTAGTGGTTGGAAACGCGTGCCTTCTGCAGCCCGCCTGAGGCACCACTGGGATACAAAAGGAGGAGGAAGAGGAGTAGGAGGAGGAGTGAGAAAAGAAGAAGGAGGATAGGAACGGCAAGAGGAGTAACCATACAATAATAGTAATGCTTAGAAAACGCACAAGGATAAACATGGTAAGATTGGTAATAATACTGTTCACACCCCGAAGAAAACTATTAATACTTATGCAAACAAAACTGAAGCTAATACGAAGAATAAGGAGAGGAAACAGAAGAGGAACAATAATAACCAAAAGAAAAACGCCCCAAAAAGGACGTCGTGTTTCCCTCGCCGCGACAACGGCCGGAGGTCTGGCCCACTTCCCCGGGGACCGATGCCTCACACCACGAGCCTCTCTGTGCTGACGGCCCCTGGGGGCCACGCAGGGGCCCCCACGGGGCCGCAAGTGGCCAGAAGCCTTCCGCCGTTGCCTTCGCGTCGCGACTCGAGGGCCGAGGCGGCGGGCGGAAGCCTTCGCCGAGGGGCCCTGCGGCCCCGCGCGGTGGAGGTCGGGCCCGCCGCGCGCGCGGGGCCGCCCCCAAGGGCTCTGGGGGCCTCTGCCCTCCGTGCCGCCCACGGCGGCGGCGTGGCCGAGAGAGCCGCCCGCACCGACAGCGAGCCCTGGCCGTGGATCTCAAGGGGCCCAGGGACACACGAAGGAATGCACGCAACTCCCAGGATGCCCCATGCCATTCTGCGGGAAGGGGGGCGGTGGACTAGAGATTCGGGGGCGTCGGAGAGGGGTGCGTCCAACAGGGGGGGGGGGGGGGCGCAAATCATGGCCGGCGGCACGTGCGCGGCCCCTGGGGGGGCCGAGACACGCAATGAAACAAGAAGAGGCGCCATGAGATCCGGGGGAATATCATGGCCCGCGCCATGGTATCCACCCCCCCTACGTAGTCATCACCCCCCTCTGTTCCGCCCCCGATCGATTTGGGGCAATTGTACTGCAAATGTACTGCGCCGGAGAACTGTGTTGCACTGTATGGCAAGTGATGTGTTGCACACGAAAATCTGGCAGTACACTTGCGCCCTGGAGCGTACTGCACGCCCCAGATGTATTGCAACCCCGCATCTCGATTGCACCAAATCTGTCGCACCACCCCCTTGCCGCTGGACCCCCTTCTGGGTCAACCCGAAAGGCGAAGCGATGGCCCTGGGGGAGGGCCCAGGGGTCATGGGGCGGCTTCCCTTTTGGACGCCCGAAATGGGCACGGAAAGAATGGGTACAATGCCCAACAACAAATGTTGTCCCAAACCAACAGCGGCCGCTGTTGGGCAGGCAGCCTTCTGTCTCGAATGGACACAGGCCGCGGCGGCGTGGACAGCGAGTGCTGTTCAAAATGAACAGGAACTGCTGTTGGGCATCGTACCCATTCTTTCCGTACCCATTTCGGGCGTCCAGATCCCTCGAGGCACCGTACGCGTCATGCCGAGACGCCAGAACCGGCCGACGACGAATCTGCCGGAGGAGGCCGAGAAGGAAACGGCGCCGCGGCCACGACGCAACCGACCGATCCGCATCCTCGGACGGGCCGAACGCGGCCGCCTGCGGCGCAGCCGCGCCCACCGAGCCGCGAAGCCCTGTCCCCGCGGGACCCGCCATACTGGCCATTGCTCGGACGTCCATTCCCTGTGTTTTTTTTTCGGTTTCGTGCGTGGTTTTTTCGCCAAATGATCAAGGATGCTCCTCGATGGTCCTCGCCCAAGGAAGGATGCACACGTCCGAGCGATGCCAAGCACCTCGCCGAAATCGCGATGCCGCTTCGCCCTCGACCCTCGACCCTCGGGGGTCGAGCGGGGATGCCCGTCTCCTCCTCCTCCTCCTCCTCCTCCTCCTCCTCCTCCTCCTCCTCCTCCTCGAGGGGGGGACCGCCTCCAGAGGCCTCCACAGGCCTCCCGGGGGCCTACAGGGACGTCGGGTGGTCAGGATCTGGGGCGGCGCTGGAGCCTGCCAGCCAGAATCGGTCGGAAGCTCCCCCCTCTCCACCACCACCCGCCAACCCTCAGTCGTGTCTGGGCTACGCTGGCGGGGCCAGGAGTCAGGTCGCAGGAGAAGGAAGACGGGCGGGAGCTGGACGCAGGCCTGGCAACTCCTGCACCCCGATCCTGCATCCTCCATCTCCTCCCATCCTCCACCACCTCCTCCTCCTCCTCCTCCTCCTCCTCCTCATCGTGCTCCTTGCTGCTCCTCCCTGTCCTACTCCCCCACCTGCCCCTCCTGCTCCGAGGAGGAGGAGGAGGAGGAGGAGGAGGAGGAGAAGGAGGAGGAGGAGGAGGAGGGGGGAGGAGAGAGGATTGAGGACGGGAAGAAGAGGGAGAGGAAGTCCCGAGATGAGCACGAGCCTCGATCCGGGGGGGGCACCCAGCGAAACTCGCCCCACCGACGCGAGCAAGAGGAGGAGGAGGAGGAGGAGAAGGAGGAGGAGAAGGAGGAGGAGGAGGAGAACACTTCTTTGCCCAAGCCCGTTGCCTGTGCATCCAGGTCGACTTGCCGCTACCAGCCATGCCGAGAACCAAGATCCGCCGGCCCCCGCGCTCGAAGGGTGTCGTCCCTGCGAGCAGGGCGGAGCGTGCGCCCTTCCGCTCCGAATCGCCGACTGCGGAGGGGAGGACCAGGAGGAGGAGGAGGGGGAGGAGGACGAGGAGGATTTTAAATTGACGGGGAGGAGGAGGACGAGGAGGAGGAGGAGGAGGAGGAGGACGAGGAGGAGGAGGACGAGGAGGGGGAGGAGGACGAGGAGAAGGAGGGGGAGGAGGATGTTAAATGGACATCCGCGCAAAGCCTTCTCCAGTTCTCGTTCTTGTCTCTTGAGGATTGGCGAGCGGCTCGCATGACGTGGCCAGCTTTGCCATTCGCTCCCCCAAGTGAAACTCCCACATCGCTGACAGATGCACACGACAGACTGGTCGCTACAATCCAACACAATACAGCTGGGGCCACAGCCCCGAAAGGATTGCGAGGCGAACCTTCAGGCGCATGGTGCAGCTTCCGTTCGGCGGCTGCGTGGCCGCACGAGGGCCTCTCGGCGGCGAGCGAGGGGGGAACGTGAGAAGGAGAAGGCCTGCTCCGAAGACGGCGGGGCTTCGAAGAAACCCTCGCGCCTTCTGAGGGGTTCTCTGCGTCTCCGGGCAGGGTTCAGACAGCTTCTCAGGAGGCCAGGGAACTTCCGAGCCTTCTGAGAAGGCCTTCTCCTTCCCCTTCTCTAGGGGATCGAACAAATAATATAACATAAAAACTCGGAGGCCCGCGCGGATTTCTCGGATCGACGCTGGAGCCCCCTGGCGGCGCCTCCAGCGCGGCCCCTGGCGCGCTCCGCGCGCCAGGGAGGGGGATCCAGCGCGGATCCAAGAAATCCGCGCGGACATCCGCGCTCCCCTAAGAGAGCGTTTTTTGTATCTTCGGCGATAATTGGTATTATACGTGGGGGGAAAGGCCAGGGGGGGGGGCATAATGTAACGCCTCCCCCCCGCCGTGCGCACGGCGGCAGTGCCCGGAGCGCACTGGAGGGGGATGGGCGTTACGTTACACGGGAGGGGGGGAGGGAGGGGGGGGCCGGGGGCTATAATGCCCATTATGCCCCAAGCAACAAAGAAACACGCTTTTCACTTCCCCCCCCCCTCGCTCGCCGCCGAGTCTGTCAAGCGGGGTGGGCCTTGCCAAAACGTGAGAAAGGCGGCCTGCCGACACCAGCGCCCACTCGCTGGGGGCACCCGCGGCGGGCCAGGCCCCACTCGCGGCCTCGGAACGAGCTGGGCACAGTCCGAGCACGCGCGCGGCCAGGAGGGTCTACCCGTCGGTCTCATGGCACTGGCCTTGCGGACGTGCTGCAGCGGACTTGTGTGTGGATTCCTACGTGGGTGTTTGCCCGAAGCGGCGAGCGAGAAACGAAGTGAGTTTCGAGTGTCTGTTTTGTTTTCTGGTCGTCATTCCTGGCCAACAGAAATCCGCGCGAAAACCATCTCGAATTCCGGAATGAAATTATCCAGGAAGTTCTGCTGTCCACGCTAATGGGGCGGACGTGCTCTGGGCCAGCTTTCCAGCAAGTTGCTGAAGAAACGTTGGCCCACTTTTTCTAGAGAAGGTTGCTTATTCAGGTGCTCGACCGTAGGAAGGCGTTTGGAGCAAATTGGGCTTCCGCTCGCCCCTTGAGGAGGAGGAAGAAGGGAAACCGCTCGACTCTTGAAACAGGAAGGCGCCTGAAATAGATCGGGATCTGGGATTCCAGACACGCCATCTTCCCGAATCCAGGGAGGAGAAGGAGGAGGGGGAGGGAGGAGGGAGAAGGAGGAGGGAGGGTGGAGGAGGGAGGAGGGAGAGGAGGGAGGGGAGGAGGGAGGAGGGAGGAGGGAGGGAGAGGAGGGAGGAGGAGGAGGAGAGGAGGAGGAGGGAGAGGAGAGGAGAGAGGAGGAGGAGGAGAGGAGGAGGGAGGAGGAGGAGGAGGAGGAGGAGGGGGAGGAGGAGGGAGGAGAGGAGAGGAGGAGGAGGAGGAGGAGGAGGAGGAGGCGCTTTCAACGACCGACGGGTCATCTTCGCCGAAAGCTCGACCACGGCTCTCGACCCCGTGACGAGGTGAGCCAAGTGCGCCAAGTGCTTCTCCTCCGACGATATCCGGGTGGAGACCAGCCCCGGGTTCACGCAGCCGAGGCGGAGGAGGGGGAGCGCAGGGCCTCTCGAGCGTCTCCCGCCTTCCGCGCTGGCGCGCGCCCGACGGACTACGCCGAGGTGCCCTCACGCCAAGGAGGAGGGGGAGAGGGGGAGGTGGATGGGGGAGGAGGAGAGGGAAAAGGATGAGGAGGAAGGGGAGGAGGGGGGGGGGCAGGTGGAGGTAGAAAGGAGGACGGAGGAGGGGATGGAGCAGTGGGACGTGTGAGGAGGATGACAAGGAGGGGCGGCAGAAGGAGCGAGGATGACGGACCAGATGGAGAAGCAGGCAAAGGCGCGGCATGTGAGAAAAGCATGGGAAAGAGAAGGGATCAAAGAGGACGAAAGAGGAAGGATGAGGAAGAGGGGGGAGGGACAAGCTAGGTGCGCTCGCGTCATATCTGACGTCCTACCCCTCCCTCCCATCCCTTACCATGGCGCTGATTTTCTCTATCCGCGGACGCGTGTCGTAGCGGACCTGTGGCTCCGCGCGCGCGTGCGTAGTGGGTGGTGGTGCGCGTGCGTGCGTGCGTGCGTGTGTGCGTGGTTGTGGTGGTGGTGGTGGTGGTGGTGGTGGTGGTGGTGGTGCTGCTGCTGGTGGTGGTGGTGTGTGATGGTGGTGGTGGTGGTGGTGGTGGTGGTGGTGGTTGGTGGTGGTGTGGTGCTGGTGGTGCTGGTGGTGGTGTTGGGTTGTGGGTGTGGTGCGCGCGTGTGCTGTGGCATGGCACGGGAAATGACGCCAGCGCTGCAGCGGGAGCACGAGTCGAAACGGGCGGAAGCGCGGAAATGAGGCCAGCGCTGCAGCGGGAGCACGATTCGGAACGAGCGGAAGCACGGAAATGAGGCCAGCGCTGCAGCGGGAGCACGATTCGGAACGAGCGGGGCCCGAAAATGAGGCCGGCGCCTCAGCGAGAGCAGCATTTTGAAAAAGAATGCAGGCGACAACCCAACTCCCGGGAATCCTGTGTGTAAAAAAGCATGACGCGGGGGGGGGTCGGCTACTCCCAGCACGCCATCAGGGGAAGAGGGAGAGTAGTATTCATATTGAGTAATTGTTGACGAGGAGGCCGACAAGAAGAAGCGATGAGACGACGCAGACAAATAATACGCACAGCTGGGGCCGAGGGCTCCTCCCTCCCCCCTCAACCTCCCAGCCGCGATCACGACGGCGACGTTGACGTTGACGTTCACGTCAACCACGTCGGGCGACGACGGCCACGGCTATGATGACCGCGGCAACACCGCCGACGACGTCGGCGGTAACTTCGCCGACGGCTACGGCGACGACCCCTGCCGGAGGTCCTGGGAAAGGGCCCCCCCCCAGAGCCGAGAGATGCCAACGGTGCACCTGGCCGAAAGCGCCCCCCCCGTTTTCATGGCCACCAGATCGCTCAGCGATTTGGGGGGCAGGAGGTGCCTTCCGGAAGGCTAGGGGGCCACATGCGAACGGTACCCCTGCCCCCCACGACTTCTGAGGGGGAGGGTGGGCTTCACTTCGCTTCGCTCGGGAGCTCCCGAGCGAAGTGAACCCCACCCTCCCCCTCAGAAATCGTGGGGGCTAGGGGTCGGGTTCGCATGTGCCCCCCCAAAGGCCCCCACTGGGCCCTGTCGGCCTCCGTGCCTTCTGGCTCCGAAGCTTCTCGCGGCACCGGCGTGCCTCGCGGCCGCGCGAAACGCAGTGCAGCGGGAGGGCTCTCTCGCGCGGCCGCGCGCAGCGCGGGGAAGCAAGCGGTGCTCACATCCGTGCGCTGCAAGGCAGCAGGCGGTCCCTCCTTCCTTCCCTTGGGCGTGGCTTCATGGGGGGGTCTTAGATGGGGGGGTCAGAAAAGGTCCCCTCTCGTGCCCCTTTCGGGCCCCTCCAGAGCCCCAGGGGGCTCGTTTAGGTACCGTTTGGGTACCTTTTCGAACCACCCTCGCCGCCCCCCCATTTATGACCCCCCCATTACGCGGCGCCCAATCCCCCCCGCTGGCTGGGAGGCCGGTTGCTTCACTGCGCGCGGGAGTGCTGGATGGGCTCTATGCTGCCACGCTGCTCTCCGCTTGCTTGGTCGGCTGGTTGGTCGCCGCGGACATGCTGGACTGGCGCCGCGCGGCGACTTCGCAGGGGAGTGTGCGCGTGTGTGTATGTGTGTTGTGTTGTGTTGTGTTGTGTTGTGTTGTGTTGTGTTGTGTTGTGTTGTGTTGTGTTGTGTTGTGTTGTGCTGTGTTGTGTTGTGTTGTGTTGTGTGTGTGACGCACTGGTCCTCCGCCCGTGGCTGCTCCCAGGAGGTGTGCAGCAGGGCAGAGGGTCCATGCCTGGATTGGGCTCGGAACCCACCCCCTTCCACCCGTAGGCTTGTGCATTTGTTGGGCGGCGCCCTTACCAGGCTGGGCCGCGGGCGGTACTCCAAGTTGGGCCAGCCCCGCAGCGCCAGGAAATTCAACTCGCCCGTTGTTGGCGCAAAGGCGTTGCCCAACTTCACGGTCGAATGGCCGGACGAAGAAAATGTTCGCTCCATTTTGGAGCTCTGCTGAAGGCCCCCTGGGCCTCGGCACGGGTGCTGTGGAGGTCTGGGGGGCACCTTGGGCCAGATGCACTTCTAGCAACACCCAGCAGAGGTCCCTGGGGAGGCCCCGATTCTGAATCAGGGTAACTAGATCGATGGCGGCGCCGGCGGACGACGGACGACGGCCCTAACGACGGCAATGACAATGACGACGGTTATCTTGCGAGCACAGGATCTCACGAGCTGGTTCGACTTCATTTGCTCTCTTGTGCTCGCCAGCTGAATCTTTGAACAAACCCATTTCTCCGGGGGGCTCTTTTCATACCAGCTCGTGGGAGAAGCATTCAAGCAGTGCACTCCTGTGTGCGCGCCGCGCCACCATGGCCGCCATGCGAAGAATCGCGCCCGCGGGCAACTCACCAACTTGAGTGAATTGCGAAAAACGACGACGACGACGAGGACGACGACCAGGGCGAAGACAAGGGCGACCGACGACCGACGACGGCGGCGACGCGCGAAACCGCAGAGGGACGGGCGGGAAGACGGGGCCGCACAGGCGTCGTGCATGACCACCGGAGAGCGCGGGATGCTCCTACGCGGGTCCGCTCGGGGGGGGGAGGGGCCGCGGCCGAACCGGGTCGGAAGCCATCGCCCCTCGCCTCCCCGGGCATCCAGGAAATCCGCGCGCCCCCCCTGGAAGTCTGTGATGATGCCGCGTGTTATTGTTCCCTGGTAGCGTCTCGTCAGAGGGCTCTGAAGCGTTTCGTTGGGGGGTTCTAAGCGTCTCGGCGGCGGGCACCTCAGTGAATATTCCAAGGCGTGCCGTTGGAGGGTTCCAACAGCGGTTCATCGAGACCACGGGCGAGCCCCGCCGGTCGGACGGAGAATCTGGGACCGCAGCCCGGTATACCGCCTGGTGCGGCAGCCGCCTCGCTCGAGACCTCCTCACAAGTTGTGTGGAAATGTGCTGTGGGCCCGGACGCACTAGACCGGGACAGCATCCCTCAAAACAAAATCTTGTTCCAGGCAGCGGCACGAACAAAAACTGCACTGCAATACTTCTATCGAAGAAACCCGGACACGGGCAACAACTCCCCAATGGACCCAGACCCAGACCCGAATCATGCAGCGCAGCGAAAAAAAACTGCACTAGACGACCTAATCTGACTTTGCAGGAAAGGTGCAGGTTCCCGAACTTGTCAATGTCCTGGTTAGTCTGTATCCTGACCTCTCGGGGCCTGGCGAAGCCGGCTACATTCTTGGTCCGGATAGCCACGACCTCTGGTCAACAAAAACACCAAGGTGCACATGTCTGTGCTCTCACCCCTGTCCCCACCTAGCCGACCCCCTCCTCCTCCTCCTCCTCCTCCTCCTCCTCCTCCTCCTCCTCCTCCTCCTCCTCCTCCTCCTCCTCCTCCTCCTCCTCCTCGACCAGCATCTTTACCTTTGCTGCTACTAGGGTGCGTTGCTGTTGTAGTGTTTCCTCGACGCTCCCGGTCTGTGGGGGCATGGAAATTGGCACCAGCACCATTCAGGGGGGTGTCACCACCTGGGAAACACGATCCTGGACCCTGGTGGCGGTGGCAATCCCTCGGCCACCTCAGGGGCCCGAACATTACCACCATCGCCGAGATCAGGGTCATCCTCCCTCGGCAGAGGCAACCGCCCATACTGGGGCTGGTGCCAAACCCTAGCCCTCCAACTGTCGCCCGGCCCGATATTGAGGGGGAGCGAGAGGAGGGGACGGCTCGACGGGGAAACGTCGAGCTGGAACCGGCGATACGTCGCTGATGGAGCGGCGGTCGGCCCTCGACTGCCACACCGCGCGCTCCTGGGCGGGGTGGGCTATCAGGCCCCTGTCGGCGATGAATGGGCGAGCGGAGGTCGATGCGTTCCGCACTGAGCCAGTCCCCCCCTAGGATATCTGGGGATCCCCAGAAAGACGCACGCGCCAAGCAGCTTGCATGAGCATGCCCCCCCAATTTGCGAAGCCGCCCTCTTCCGTCACGATCGCTCGCGCAAGGCACCCTCTCGAAGCCCGTGTGAGCTCACGCACGCGGGCGCTCTTCTTTCGCTCCTGTCTGCCGTTGCCCCTGAGCTGAAATCGTTGGACACGAACCGAGGAATATGAGACTTGCGGGTGCCTTGACAATGGACACCCTAACAATCCCATCATTGAAAAAAAAAGTGTCTAAACTTTTTAAAACATGTCAAACAAACGTTCCAGCTGTGTCTTTACATATGTATAACATCTTTGAAACATGCTTTAGACATGCGGAAATTATTTGGCAGCATGCGTCCTCTCCATTAGTCGACCTCCACAAGACTGGACGCCACGGACCTGAATGCTCGGCACTGCGCGCGGATCTCTCGGATGGGCGCTGGAGCCCCCCTCGAGACGCCGCCGGTGCCGCCCTGGCGCGCCCCGCGCGCCAGGGGGCCCAGCGCCGCTCCAAGAACTCCGCGCGGAGATCCAAAAGTTTCTGTTCGTGCAGTTTGTTTCCCTTCGAGCAGATGAAGCGGCGACTGTGGGAAAAAGAAACGGGAGATTCCTCCTCCTCCTCCTCCTCCTCCTCCTCCTCCTCCTCCTCGTCCTCGTCCTCCTCCCTCTCTTCCTCCTCCTCCTCCTCCTCGTCCTCCTCCTCCTCCTCCTCCTCCTCCTCCTCCTCCTCCTCTTCCTCCTCCTCGATCGATCGGGGCGGATCGGAGCGCGCGTCGGATCGGACCGCCATCGGCACGGGGGCGAGGTCGAAGCGGATCGGCCGCGCCGGGAGGCGCAGCAGCGCCACAGATGTGCGTCGGGGCGCATCGGGTCTGCGGCTTGGCGCATGGAACCAGCGGGTCCCGAGAGAAACGGGTCCGGGACCCCGGGGCCGTCTGGGTGGCCATGGCCACCCAGAAGGGCCCGGGGGCAGGGTCCACGTGTGCACATGTGGACCCTGCCCCCGCCCCACACGTGTTTTGGGCGGTGAACTCCGCTCGGGAGCTCGCGAACGCCGCGAACCCCCCCTCCCAGAGAAGTCGTTGGCGGGCGGGGGTCGGGTCCACGTGTGGCCACCGACCTTCCCCCAGCACCAGTTCTGCATCCTGGGTCGTGCTCCGAAGGTCCCGGGGGGCGTGGGGAGGGCCCCGAGAGGGCCCGAAGACGGCGACGGGCCTCGGGACCCGTTGCCCCCCCCAGGCGTCGCCTCCTGCGCGGCGGACCGTCGACGCCCCCCGCGGCTCCTCAGCGGGTCCGCCGGGGCGCCCGCGGCGCTGTCCGCCCCGGCGGCGCCTGACGCGCTGCTGGCTGCGCCTGTCAGGGGGCGGCGCCCGCGGGGGCGGGGGAGATCGGCGGGTGTGCGCTCGCGCGGGCGGCTTCTTTGTTTTGTCGCTCTCTGCCTGCAGGCACGCGGGCAAGGAGGCATGCAGCCGGGGCTGCTCCAACAACGGGACCGCCTCGCGCTTCGGAGCGGGAGGCGGGGCGTGGAAAGCGCGCACGCTCTCCAGACAGCCTGCGCGAAGCTTGCCGATCTGCTCGGCGTGGAAAGACGCGCTCCATCATGCGCAAGCCAGCAGTGGGAGGTCCTGGGCTGCCACGGGGCGCTCCAGGGCCGTCTTGGAGGCATCTTGGGTCCACTTTGGGATCTCCTGGGGCCACTCTGCACTTTGGCCGTCTCGGAGACGTCTCGGGACCCGTGTTGAGGGCTATCCTAAGCCTTCTCGGCAATCTTAGAGGCGGCTTTCCTCTTCCTTCCGAGGTCACCGAGAGGGGAAAATAGCGTAGGCGAGGCTGGAGGTACCTTCAGTCCTCTGCAGCTGCCAGGGAGAGGGCGGGTGCGGCAAGCATGGCCCTCCAGCGTGCCCCCCCCCCGGAGAGACGCCTCCCGGACGGACGAACACGCAGGGGCCACGTAAAAACCGATCGGGCACCCTCGCACCCCCCTGACGCCCATCCGAAAGGCGCAGCTGCTGAAAACGCATGCCGCGGCGAGAGGACCTCCAGAGAGAACTCGCGGTCTCCCGGCGCCTTCGTCTGCCCTCGGCAACTCTCCAGCCGCGGGATGCCCTCTGGCAGCTGGCAGCTGCGCCCTCGCCGAGGGCGCTCCCCAGGATGCCTGAGAGTCGCTCCGATCGGCCGCCAGCGACCCCATGTAGCACTCCGAACGCAGACCCCCGGATCGTGGAGAGAACGCGTTTCGTGATCGCTTGCCTTGGACTTGGAAACGCATGGAACTGCCCCCCACCCCCCCACCCCCACCCCAGAGCATTGAGCGTGCCCTGGAACAGCTCCCCCCCCCCAGACAAACCCACCCGTGCTGGCCCCGGGGGGGGGGTCGAACAGCCCCCCCCCCCCGCTGTCCAGGGTGGGGCAGGTTCGAACCGCCCCCCCCCCCTGCCTGAGTTGCATAGCACAGCGCCGCATTACAGCGCCTGGTACAGCGCCAGATCGAGCGGCACACGACGTGGCGGATTTCGGGAACCCTGAACACAAAAAACGCGTCGCTAGCATGCTCGGCTTCTGGCACATCCGTGCGCGCCGAGCTCGGGCCGAACTATAGCAGGGCTCGGTGGAGAAGCGTTGCCCAGGCGTGTGTTTTCTGAGAGGCTGTGCGTTAGAACTGTTGTAGTTAGCCTTGTGCTGTTTAGCCGATGCGCCGTGCGGCGCGGCTCCACTTGCTTGAACACAAAAAAACGTTCTCATCTCTTGGTGGCGCATTTTTCTCCGCCGCCTTCCGCCGCCCGCCTCTTCCGCCGGCCGAGAGGCGGCCTCGCCTTCCTTCCGCCGACCTCCCGCCGCCCTCCGCGGCGGAAGACGAGGACAACCCCTTTGGATCCCCGAAGGCCAGGCCCTTTTTGGAACGCCCCACGTAGAAAACGCCGACGAAGAAAGCACTACGTAGAAGACACGATGCACAAGAACACTGAGTAGAAAGCACTACGTAGACGAGGACAACTCCTTTGATACCCGAAGGCAAGGCCCTTTTTGGAACGCCGCACGCAGAAAACGCGACGAAGAAAGCACCACGCAGAAGACACGATGCACAAGAACACTGAGCAGAAAGCACTACGTAGCCGACTCGGCGTACACAACAACATTACGCAGAAAACGCTGCGTAACAAAAAAACTGCGTGGATTTTCATTCGCGAACAAGATTTCGATTTCACGAGTAAGAGAACCCTTGCCTCAGAGCTGCCTCCAAGAGGCCCCCAAGAGACCTCCCACGATATCCAAACAACATCCACGAAG